ATTAATACCCTCGGGAAGCTTTACTGCCAGATTAAGAGGGCCACATTTAGGATCTGTGTAATCGCGAAATGGCAACGCAGACATAAACTCTGCACCATGTCTAGGCAGCCGCTCCTCAAAAGAACGATGTGGTGGCCAATCTTTAAGCTTAAGTAACAGGGGCAAATCGTCTGGACCAACAAGCCCACGTGAATACCCCGTAAAAAACATATGAATGTTTACATCAACCTGCATTCAGAGTACATGAAAGTAACATTAGTTTTTAGAAGTTTCATTTCGGAAAGTCGTATCATTTCCAGCTAATAACAGTCACGAGAATATTACAAACCTCACACCAACCCAAGCATTCAAGAGCAAGAACTGAGAGCCTCTCAACTTTGTCTCTCTTCTCTCGTAAGGCACGCCACATAACCATTGGTTCCCAGCTTAACCCAGAAGTCAACGCAAGCGTATCACGGACAATTACAGGTTCACCCTTCAACCAGTGCTCCTGGAAATGATCTAAACTTCCATTTTGGACATCTGTAGCGGTTGGGCAATATATGTAGTTATCACAGGAATTCTCCCTGCAAGCTGATTTCCGCGATATACCATCATCCATGTCACCGGATTCAGTGAAGCAGGAACATTTTGATCCTTCCATCTTCACCTTCGAGCCATTATTTACCGCTGAATTGGCTTTCTCCAGTAATTCAGCCATAAACTTCTCTTCAAACAAGCACTTAAGTTCAAGAAGAGAGCTCCCACAACCACCAAATGCATTTGGTGGGCAAGGTATGGTTCCATCGTTATTCACAGTCCACTGTCTCAAGCTAGAAGTGCTGTTGTCAGCAGGAACTACATTATCTATCAACATGCCATTATGTCCATCAGATGGCCCTTTACATACAATTTTATCATGACTAACTCCCAAATGCAAATCTTCCTTGCCTCCACCATCAGCCTTGGTACCATTACCAGGAACAAGGCCTCGACGAAGCTCCTGGCAGCACCGGAGACAGAGATCGTAGTTACATTTATTGCAGGTTCTGTGGAAGTCAACAATAGATGTCCTGCAGTTGTTGCTGTTACAAATACAACAAGGAATTAGATGCTTATAAAACCAATAATTTGCATATGCTTTGTAAGTAAAGCCACACTGACCAGTATATCCGTTCATTTTTTCCACAAATGGTTAGAGGGACCTCCAGTTTGCCTGCTTCAATCCCTACTAATATAGCAAAATTAGCAAGAGAACCAAAAATATCAATGACTAATGAGTAGAAGCCATGCACGTAAACTAGAAATCCAAATGCTGACGTTGCAATCATACTACCTTTAGTTGCAGCCTCGACATTTTTCTCTTGCGTCTGCTCGTGGTGGAGTTCTTTCAGCCAAGGGAGCAGAAAGTGCACAGTACGCAGTGAGAATTTAATTTCATCTTCTTTGGACACCTTCCAGTTGACATTCTGATGAAAATTAAGGAGCAGGTGAACATCTAAAGCATACAGCCAACATGACTTGAATTGGAAATATAAAGATAGCGAAGGCATACCTCTTCCTTTTTTACTTTGGCTCGCAGACAAGCCTTGCAATTGCAAATATTACGACAAAACGGGCACTTATTCGCAAAATCATCCTCTGATAAATTTGGATACCTGTTAAAACCACGCCATGAACACAAGCAGTGGACATTAATAACAAAAAAAAATGCAATAACATTGTGACTTGTGAGAAAAGAAGCATAATGTGCATAAGGGACAAGACAAGAGTCATGGATCTAGAAAGCAAAAATGAAAATGCAACGTCACAACATGAATGCTTTAGAAGGGGGCATACCAGCGTGTGATGCATGGCACACAGTATCTCCTCCTATAATTTTTGCAGCCCTGGCACCTTACAACTCTTCCTTTGTCATTTCTCTGGCACTGATGACACATATCCGAAGTACCATCCGTCTTTTTTGTACTCTGCCAGTTCCAGTAACCAACATACGTCATGCATGTACATATAGTTAGATTTATAATTTCAAATAAAACAACAGCGTTTGAAAAACAAAGCGCAAGCTGCAATAGCAGCATCTAATAAAAATTACCAACAAGACCATAACTACACTCAAAACACAGAGACCCTATTTGTTCAAAATCCCACCTTAGGCTGCACTGTCACAGGAACATTCGGCCTGTCACGAAGACGCTTGAAATCATATTGGAGAGAAGATAGGTCAGCAACAGGATCCCTCTTTCGCTTCCGTGCAGGTCTCGGGGCTTCCTCACTCCCTTGATCTCCATTCCCCTAGAGAAAAATGAAATTGAAGAGCATAGGCAATGTTTAGGATCTGTGTTCAATTCCTTTTTAGGGAAGGAAAATAAACATAGAAGGAAAGAGCACTGACAGTAGCAGAATCCTGTGGTTGAAGCATCTCGTCCTCACCCTTGATTTCACCGTTATCCTGAAACCCGAGCCAAAACGACCAATAAGCATATCACAGAAATCAAGTCACTGCATGCCCTCTTCAATTAAATAATTGTTGTCACTGAATTAATGTTTTTTTTTAAGGAGCACAAGCAAAGCTCAGGTATGAAGGAAAAAAAAGAGTACTAGTACATTCAAAGAAGCAAAGGCAATGAAACAGCTGGACCTGATGGAAAGGAAAATAAACATCGAAGGAAAGAGCACTGACATTAGCAGAATCCTGCGGTTGAAGCATCTCGTCGTCGCCCTTGCTTTCACCGTTATCCTGAAACCCGAGCCAAAACGACCAATAAGCATATCGCAGAAATCAAATCACTGCATGCCCTCTTCAATTAAATAAGAGTTGTCACTGGATTATTTTTTTTAAAAGGAGCAAATGAAAAGCTCAGGTTCTTTATGCAGGAAAACCTGACGGGCTAAGCGAAAAGGGGAAGGGGGAGATGCCAATTTGACAAGCGAAGACATTGGGAAGGGGGAAATCAAAGGGGTTGCTGGAATCCCAATCGAAGGAGCCGAATGGTCGCAGACGCGAAGACCGCAGCAATGCCAACGGGGAGCCCCCCGTGCCTCCGCATCCATGCTTTTGTAAGTAACTAGAGCGAGGCCGAGACAAAGGCCGCGCGGCGATGCAAAGCAGCGCAGGGAGCAAGCAGCATACGCAGCTTGCTGGGAGGGGGGATTAGCCGGAACCAAATCCGGACGAGCTAGCTCATCCTCCCGTCCACGCAGAGCGGCAGCGCGATTGAAGGGAAGCAGGAACCGGGTGCTGGAGGAGGGGAAGCGGAGACCTAGCTTAGCAAGTGCTGTGTCGCGTCGAATACCTCGGTGGCGTGCGCGGAGTCCTCGGCGACGGGGTCCTTCCTTGGCCTCCCGCGCCCGCGTCCGCGGCCTCGGCCTCGGCCTCGGCCTCGCTTGGGCGGCATCGGAACCGGCGGCGGCGGATGCGGAATCGGAGGCGAGGGGTTCGCGGGGAACTGGGTACGGCGCGGGCGGAGTCGAAAGTCGAAACGGGACGGGGACGGGGACGGGGACGGGGTGTGGTTGCGTTATATGACTCGGTGGGTCGACGCGACGGCCCCCACGCGTTATGGACACGCGGGGTCGGGCGGTGGCCCGCCGACTCGGCTCCGGCTGGGCCCAGCGGGCAGTGACGCGCGCACGTGTGCCGAGGAAAGGGGTTTTGTACGGCGCGGTCTGTTCGGGCCCTTGGTTTTTCCCGTGGGCGGGTTACTTTTTGAATCGCCGCGCGGGTGCAGGCGGTGGTGAAACCTGAAACTGGAGGCAGGCTTTGGCGGTAAGAAAGAAAGGAAAATTTACTGTGGGATCGTCGCGACTCTAGCGGGCCAGCGGGGCTCAGATTCGTTCGGTGGGGGCCCGATACGGCCCAGCGTGGAGCTTCGCGTTGACAGGCCGACCACCAAATCGACCGGACCACCAAATCGACCGGATGCCCAAAGCCTTCCTGACTGACATCGTGCTCAAGTGTAGGTGTAGCAGCGTACTCCTATGTGAGTAGCAGACGCGTTCCTGATCCGGTGATCCCGCTGCCATACTAGGTCCCACGTCACCAACCGATGTGTTTCATTTCATCCAAAAAAACAAGAGTCACCAACCGATGCCGATGCAGCTCCAAACACACACGTCCACTTGCTCTCACCTCACCTGTTGACAGCGACAATGTGCTGCATTTTTCTCATAATAAGTGCCGTTCTCAAAATTTATAAAAATTTTCTAGATTCCCCGTCACATCGAATCTTTGGACGTATACATGAAGCATTAAATATAAATAAAAAATAAAACTAATTACACAGTTTAGACGAAATTCACGAGACGAATCTTTTAAGCCTAATTAGACTATAATTAGACACTAATTGCTAAATAAAACGAAAGTGCTACAATACTATTTCCAAAAAAAAATCGCCAACTAAACAAGGCCTAAGAGATCAGATCCTAATACCACACAACACACAGTAATAAGCACATACACTGAGCCTGTTCGCTGGTTGATTTCTGGATTAATAAGCTCAATTGATGCTAATTTGTTGTGAGAAAAAAACACTGTTGGCTACCTGACAAGCCTTAATAAAACCATCAAGCGAACAGTCTCGTCGATAGCATTTTGCATGGACATATGCCACCTCACAAGGACACACCAAGACAGCGTTTCAACTCCAGGGATTCAACACCTCAATCAATGGAAGCAAGCAATTGCACTACCAAACAATCATAGGTATTCTCATCACTCACCAGTCACCACCAGTCCACAACAATGACAATATCATCTTCTCAAGGTACAACAGCACCCAGTTAATAATAATCGCGAGAAAAAAAAAACAAATTTAACTTGAAAATAACCCCAAGACAATAACAGTAGTGCAGTGCCACACATACACCAACAGCAAACGCAATCATCATCACCTTCCTAACAATAATAATAACCTAACACAACATCTTTACACGTGCTTTCTTTCCTTTCCCTTTCCCCTTCCTCCTTTATGTTACAAAGGCCACCGCCGCCCGGCGATGATGACCGACGATGTAGCTCCTCAACTCCTGAACCCAAAGTTTGACCACCTCCTCCCGGCCTCCTTCTTCGCCCGCTGCGAGTTGGTCACGAACAGGTTCTCCAGCGACTTCTGCTTCCGGTTCCGCGACCGCCCCGCCTCTTTCAGGAGCTCTGCCAGCCGCTTCTTCTCGTCCTCCACATCCGGGTTCGCCGTGCCAAGCTTCTCTTCCCTCACCTTCAGCACGTGCTCCAGGATCTCAATTGCATCCTCCACTCTGAACGTATACATAATCGGGAATATATGCAGATGCACATTAGTAGCTATAATGCGACATGGATGGATCATCCAGTAAGAATAACTATTTTCAGAGGTATAAGAACTACAACTACATACAAGCATGGCAGAGCCTCAATTACACTGTCCTGCTGCAAATATCTCTGTTACTAGTTTCGAAAGCATCAATAAATGGGTACAGACCTGTCTACTTAAGAAAGCATGAATAAATGGGCACAGGCCTATACTAAACATACATCCTGTTTTGCTACGTCTGCAACTATACAAAAGTTGGGTACATAACATGCGGACTATGGCATTGCATTCGCATGACAAAAATGATCATCTGGTAAGTAACTCATCAACCAATCTAGATACTAGTTTTACCCAATCCAAATCAAAGCAAGCTTACACAGGATAATCAAAAGGAGCTCAACCCACAACACCATCCAGCACCCACAACAAACCCACACAACCATTCAGCAAAGGATTAGACTTAACAAATTTAACCCTTCTGATAGCAGGAAAAATCTCGGCACCAGCCACTTCTTAGTTCTTACTGTTGTAAATGGTGAGGCACATATAGATATACCATTATGGGCATACCAATGACACCTAGAGATCCTAAATGTGTGGTTGTTTAACACATACAGAGTATGTAACCACATCACAGGCAGAGATATGTGCATGAGATTCTGAATAAAATGACTAAAGATTGCAGGAGAACAGGTTATCTATGCGTACCTTCCCATGGCATCATAGATTGCAGCAAGGTTGCTGTACACACCAAGAGTATCAGGATGAGAAGCGCCACACACTCCTGCTCCAGAACTGCCCTTGCCTCCTCAAACAACTGTGCAGCCTCATCTATCTTGAACAGCTGCACGCAAGCTAGCCCCATCTGGTTCAACAGAACGCCGAAAATGCCGATTTCCTCTCACCACTGGCCCTCAACTTGGCAACCGCAGCTCTCAAATGAGTTCCTCGAATCTGCATACCTCCCACCATGTAGTACAGAACACCCATCTGTGCCTCAATACCAGCAACGGTGCTCCACTGCCCTGGTGAGTCCTCGAGCAACTTGAGCGCCTCTGAAGAAGCTTTAGGGCCTCATCGAGATCGCCAAGCGCCTCATAGATGGCAGCAATCTCCATCAAACCTCCCGCAATCTCATCAGGGGCAGCACCAGGCGCGGCTTGGCATAGACACGCAGGGCGTTCTCGCAGTACGATTTAGACTCGCGCAGCCTGCCTGTTCGGTGGTAAAGGTCAGCAAGGCGGGGCGTGAGACCGGCGCAACCGTGGGATGGTCGTCGCCACGAGCCGATTTGAGAACAGTCAGCGCCTTCTGGTAGGAGAAGACGGCCTCGTCGAAGCGGGCGAGGGCGAGGTAGGTGTTGCCTATAGCGATGTCGATGGTGGCAACCTCGACGTCACGGCCGTTGGCAACCATGGTCATGGAGGCAAGCACGAGGTGCTCGAGGGCACCATCGTAGTCGCCCTTGGCGTCCAGGATGAGGGCCATCAGGCGGCGGTCCGAGGCCTCCTCGAGGGATGCCGGAGCGCTGTGCTCCCGGTGGATCTCGAGGGCTTTGCGGCATAGCTTCTCTGCCTCGTCGAACTGCAGAGCTTGCACATGCGCTTCCGCCAGGTACCTGCTCATCAGTCAGTTTTGAGAAGTAGCAAAATTGTCATGCTTCGTCCCTTGTAAGATTTATTGGGTGTTTGCATGCAAGAAATCGGTTTTTAACGCCAATTCTGTCGAGATCCACAGTTTTCTGTAACGACTAACGACCAACGATGGGGAAAAATATCAGTTCTTTGGCTTTATCGAGGTTGGATTGGAGGTACTAATAAAAAAAGAAAAATGGCGCCTTTATGGAGATTGGGAGAGACGAGATCCAGATCGAGAAGCAGCGAAGGGGGGATTGATGATCACCTGCAGGTCTCGGCGACGCGGGGGTCGCGCTCGCCGAGCGCAGCCATCTGGATCTCGAGGCCCTTGCCATAGCAGGCGATGGACTCGTCCATGCGGCCAAGCATGGCGTGCGTGTCGCCGAGCTGCATCCAGCCGGAGAAGGCGGCGAGGGACCACTCCTCGCCCCTCTGGTCGGGCTCCGCACGCTGCTGCTGCTGCTCGTCGCCGCCGGCCGCAGCGGCCCCATCCTCGCCCTCCCCCTCCCCCTCCCCCTTGGCAGCAGGGGCAGGCGGCGTGACGACGGCGACGGCGCGCTCGAGGACGGGGATGGCGTCGGCGTGGCGACCGAGTCCACAGTGGATGGCGGCGGCGACGTGGAGGCTCATGGCGAGCTCGAGCTCGGCGCCCTCGCCGCGCCGCTCGAGCGCCCTGGCGGCGCGCTCGGCGAACTCGAGCGCGCGCGCGGCCCCGCCGCCCTCCCCCGACACCATGGCGTCGCGCGCCTGCTTGAGGAGGAACGGGCCCAGATCCGGGTTGTCGAGCGAGTCGTCGGCGTCGGCGGGGAAGGCCGTGGGGGACGGCGAGGGCTTCCGCGGCTTGGCGCGCGACGAGGCGGAGGGAGACGGCGACGGCGGCGCGCGGCGGGGGAGCGGCGATGAGAGACGCCGTGGCGGCGGCGCCGCCGTTGGGGGCGAGTTGTCGGAGGCCGCGAGGCCCGGCATGGCCGGCGGCGGGCGGGAGGAGTTTGGTGGCTGGCTCCTGGGTGGGGTGGGGAGGGGAGGGGAGAAGACGGACAGCTGCTACCTTGGTGGATGGTGGTGGTGGAGACTGGAGGACTGGAGATGGAGCAGAGGGGGTGTCGTCTCGGGTAGGGGGAGAGCAGGGCAGATACCACCGTTCGGGGGGAAGGGAAGGGCAGCTACAGCTAGGCAGGAGCCAGCACAGCAGGGAGGGGGTGAGCGTGAGGCCGTGAGCTGAGGCGTCTGGCTTCCCTCCCCTTCGCTTGCAAGGGAAGACTGGACTGCGCCGCGGGGGCTCCGTGATGGTGGCCACCGGGATCGGGAGGGGATCACGTTGGCATGATCGCATCAGATGTGCCGGCGCGTCTCTCTCGCCTCGGGTCTGCCGTGACGCCGACGCCCGGATTGCCTGGCGTCATAATGACTTCGCGGCGACCATGAATAAATGAAATTAATTAATGGCGGGGTCGTTAGCATGCTTTGGTTAATGAATGAACGTAAGGTATGGTGTGATTAAGCTGCCCATTAATCGGCGTGTTCGCTGGTTGGTTTCTAGGCTGGTTTAGACTGGCTCGTGTTGGTTTGTTGTGAGAGAAAAACACCGTTGGCTGGTTGAATAAGCATGACTGAAACCAACAAACAAACAAGGTTAATAGCTCAAACCTGCCTGCCATGCCATGCAAAGACAGCGCATACAACAGTAGGACCTCTAGTATCAGCATGTTCGTTTGCTCGTATCTGGCTTATAAGTCATGACTTATCAGCCAACGAATAATATTTTTTTCTCACATCAAACCAGCCAACGGTACTTTCAGCCATGGTTTATAAGCCAAACAGCCCAAACTAGCAGACAACGATCTATGAACATACATCAAAGAAAAAGATTGAAAAATATTACTAAGCCCCCTAATTTCCCTATGATGATCGGCGAGATACATGATCGCTGGGCTTGTTCGGTAGGACTGGAAAATACTGTTTCGGCTGATTGTTGTGAGAGAAAAATACTGTTCTGACAGGACATGAACAGTGATTTCGTAAGTAGCGGAACAAGCCAGCCGAACACGCCCGCTGTCGCTCCGTTATCTCCCAAAGCTTCACCAATTCCTGGCTGTCTATTTCACACTGAATTCTTTGGACGCCTAGATCACAAGCAAGTACGATGCCTTCTTTAAACCTTGTGGCTTCCAACTCGTTCGGCTGGGCAGGACAGCCCCCTCATAAAACACTATTTATCTGAACCAATCAGCAGTATTTCTCTCACATAAACGAACCAGCCAACCGAACATGCTAGCATCTAGCCATACTGCATGCCACTTCGCTCTCCCACCTCTGAAGATCCCGGTCTGATCCAGGATCACAGCTCCGGTTGCCCCTTGGCCGCAGGCCGGGTAGTAAGCACCATCAAAATTGCACTTAAACCATCCTTCAGGAGGCATCCGCCACTTTGACTTAGTCACAGTCACAGCTGGTTGTCGTGGAGGCCGAGCCAATAGTCTCTTGGATGTTTTATTAGTCTTCTACATTAGGCGTCTTTGGATTGAAAGAAAAATTCGTGTTTCAAGTGAAAATGAATTGATTTCTGTGAAACTCTCGTAGCGTAGCGCGTAGTTCCTGTTTGTTTCGCTGATAAGGCAGGCTTCAAAATAATATTCGTTGATTTGTTGGGAGAGAAAAACAATATCCCATATACGATGATGATGATTTGAGGGCCTACAACCTGCTGGCTGCGCAGAAGGTCGGATTAATACTCCTACTGGTCGAGCTCTCCTTAGTGCTGTTTGTCTGTCTGGCGCTATAATTGAATGGGTGGATGATGAACTGCAACTGGCGCCCCGCCATCCTCGCCCCCGCCCCCCCTCCCCACCAATCCAATTAGTAGCGGCGGCAGATTAGAACCGCTACTATTCCAGCACAATCTTTCTATCGAATGAATCAATTATATATACTTTTTTAAGAAGTAGTATCAATTTATTTATAACGTGACCAGGTGAAGTCAGTGATGGACTGAACAGAAGTAAGCAGGGGTAACCTCACGTCTTGTTTAGTTTCACCCTAACTTTCAAAATGTTGCTACAGTACCTGTCACATCGAATGTTTGCGGCTCGTACATGGAGCATTAAATATAGACGAAAAGAAAAACTAATTGTACAGTTTGGTGGGAAATTGCGAAACGAACGTTTTAAGCCTAATTAGTCCATGTTTAAACACTATTTGCTAAATAAAAATGAAAGTGCTACGTTAGCTCTAAAATCCAAATTTAGCGAACAAGGGCTCAGTTACAGAGTCCACAGAGATAGGCAGCAGCGGGACGACGGATCCACGCACGCAGGTACCTCACTGGCATGGGCATCATCACGATTTCATTCACGCGGCAACTGCATACCCAACCAAATCATTGGCTACGGCTACGATGGCAATGGCATGCTCCACCCGCTATGAATCGTTTATCATTCTGCTCTGCTGTCAAAAAAAAAAACAAAACAAAACACGTGCTGGCATACTCCCTTCTGCACGGAGTGGCATGCGAATTGCCATCTCGCTTGCTCATGGTAGCTCAGCGTCCCATCCTCTCTTTGGGCGCGTGTTCAGTTCCACACCTAAATTCTAAAAAGTGCTACAGTACCTGTCACATCGAATATTTGTGGTCTGTGCATGAAGTATTAAATATAGACGAAAAAAACTAATTGTACAGTTTGGTGAAAAATTATGAGACGAACGTTTTGAGCCTAATTAGTCTATGTTTAAATACTAATTGCCAAATAAAAACAAATGTGCTACAGTAGCCCCAAATTCCAACTTCCTCTAACTAAGGTCTTGTTTAGATTGAAAAAAATTTCAACCCGATGAATAGTAGCACTTTCGTCTTATTTGGTAAATATTGTCCAATCGTGGACCAACTAAGCTCAAAAGATTCATCTCGTGATTTCCAACTAAACTGTACAATTAGTTATTTTTTTTACCTACATTTAATGCTCCATGTAAACAGCTAAAAATTGATATGACGGAGAAAGAGTGAAAAAACTTGAAATTTTGAGGGTATCTAAACCAGGGCTGAACAGGCCCTGGATTCGATTCGACTCGTCTGCCTCGAGACTCGTGAAGTCGTGTGTGTTCCTCCAAAACAAAAAAAAGAATAGCGTCACGCGCAGCACGTGACCGACAGTGACACCGCCGTAATTACACGATTCGTTCCGTTCCACCCGCTCAAGTCAAAAGGCCAGATGTTGTTCGGCCCACATGTATCAGTCAGCGGGCTCAACGTCTGCCTGTATGGGCCCTACCATGCCTCCTGCAGTAGTCCAGTCCAGCCCAGCCCGCTATACGATCGGGTTGGGCCTAATGCTCCACGTCGTCTTGTCCAGTTGTCCTACACCGCCCCACTCCCCCCAGCTCCAGCCAGCGGCCGTCGTCTCGTCGCCGTCGCCGCAAAATCCTCCGACCTCGCTCGCGCCACCGCAAAACCAAACCGGAAAAAATGCCGTCCCCGTCTCTCCTCCTCCGCGCCCCTCCTCTCTGCCCCTCCCACTCCCCGCGCCGCTTCGCTTCCCCCTCCCTCACCACCTCGTCCCCAGCCGCCCGCCTCCGGCTCCGCCCTCTGCGCCTGCCCCCCGCCGCGTCCCGCCACGCGCCTCGCGCCGGGGACACGCGCGTGGCCGACGACCTCATCCCGATCGCGCGCTGCTACGAGGGCCGCCTCGCTCGGCTCGAGCTCGCCGGCGCCGCGCGCCGGGAACAGGCCGTCGCGGCGGCGGCCGCGGCCGACGGAGGGGCCACCGCGGAGGCGCACCTCGCCGCCGGTTCCGACGCCATGGTCGTCGAGGCGTTCCTCCCCGGGCCCCATGGCGGCGGGACGACCGCCTCCTCCACGCGAGTGGTGAGTTAGTACTCAGTACTGCGCCTTTTTCACACACCGTTTCTGAGGCGCTCGCGCTACAATAAGCACTGGTTCAATAGCTCTTTCATAGCTCTCGTGTGTTAGCTCTGACAATTGGGTGGAAGTGGAACTGATTGTCATCTATCTAGTTATGCCAAATACCAGCTGCACTAAGCACTCATTCCTATCTGCAATGCACAACTGGGTCAATTGCACCTTTCCTTTAGATGTGCTGCATTGGGTGAAGCACGGTTCTTACGCAACAATGCAGATAGGTCAAATAATTAGGCAAAGCGAAATTCACCATGCACATTCCTCTTCCTGATAAAGGTGCTTTTGGTTTCACCATAGAAGGAGCTTATCCACCTTCTTTCTTATGGCACCCTAGGATAGGAACGCCGACTGGTTTACTTGTGTATGCAAATAATTACAGCCGCCTTGGATTTCTGTTGGGCTTCCCATGTTTTGCTGGATCATCATGAGTAACAGTGGCAAATTTTGTAGATTTTGCAAGCGAAGGAAGTTAAAGATAAGGCCAGTAAGATAGAGAAACAATTCGGATCTGATTTTTTCTTTGCAAACGAGCCTGATTCAGAGAGTATGTTGGCTATGGCCTTTAAGCAAGTTGTAATTCAGCGGCTCTCAAACTTTCGGCTCGAGGTCTTCTCCCCAGGTTCAGTGAGAGACTTCCAAGATTTTGGCAAACCCCGAAAGGTGCAAACTCACAAAGTTTATGAGTTTTCAATATTTCCTGCTGTGTTTACTTCTTGCTACTAATTTGTTGATGCACACCAGGGGTCTTTGGATTGTAGTATCAGCTCATCAGATGGAAAACTTCTGTCTTCTCTCGCTGAAGCCATTTTCTCCTCGTCATTGAGGATGCCAGAAAAAAATCATTTTGGGGGCATAGGCAGTTTGTTTCAGAAGCGACAGCTCAACTGCTCATTGGATTCCTCGGTTTGTATACACAGAATTTCTGAGGCAGAAATAGTAAAAAATGCTAAGAGGTGCCTGGAGACTTTTAGTCTAATGAAGTCTTCTCATGAAGTGCACAAAACAAAGAATGGATGGTGGCCACCTCCAAATTATGAAAGTTTGGTGAAGATTGGGGGTCCTGAGTTAGTGCTTTGGACCAATGAGTACATTCCTACCTATAAGCTGCAAATTAACGCCAACATATTGGAGAATTCTAATCTTGAAGGTGAAGGTCTTTATGAGTTAGAAAGTAATAGGCGGGAAGTTCTCTTAACCCACTCGCAACTGGTACACTGTTATTCCCTCCATATCTTCCGTTAAACATAATTGTTTTCTAGAATATGGTCCTTTGTATGCTTTTTAACTTGTTTCTGCGCATTTCCGCCACTTGTAGGTGGAACTAGGGAATGTTCTAGACATGTACTTTGAAGATCAATTCACATTACCAGGCAAAACATTCCATCCTCATTGGAATTCAGATCCATCAAAGATTAAAAAGAACAATGTATGCTGACACTTTCGAGGTCAAAATTAACTCACTTTAAATAATTATCAAAATCTTCATGTTTTTTTGTTTTATGCAGGGCTATTTGAACAACCTTTCCACTTTCTTGGCTGGGAGCTGTATTTTTCTTTTTGTCGCCGTCTTTGCTCAATTATGCTGGCCTCAATCTTTTAGAGACAAAAGGCTATTCAAGGAAAGTTCAAATGCCTCATCATCTCAGAACTATTGTTCTGATATCAAGTCTCTTGATAACAGTGAGGTACTTAGTTATCTAGTTCTTGTGAATCTGTTGTATGTCCAAGGTAGATTGATGCTCATTTTAGTGTTGGATTGCTTTTCGTGATATGCCACAAACTTTTCACATAACATCGACACTACAACAATATTTCAACTAATTACCTGAAGGAAAATTCCTCATGCCATTTTACATGGTTTAGTTTTTGCTCAATTGCTTACACATACTTGTCGCAATGACCAAAGAAACACCAACTGCACCTAACTTCTGTTAGAAGTTAGAACTTGGGAATATTCTGTCAGGCTGCATCTCATCTGTTTCCGCCCCCTTGAAAATTAGTACTTTCAGGATGTGACACTTCATTTATAAAGATTAAACAAGTTGAGTTCAAGGCAAGCTTGTTATATGTGTCTAAGGAATACTGGCATACTGAATTAATATGCCTGCCTGCATAACTGGATCGTAGCATTACTACTCTATTCATTATTTATGTGTGCTGCATATTTTTGTCTGATTTACTCTTCTTCAGATACAAGCTTATTGCACGTCTCTTGTTAAGAAAATGAAAGACTCATATGGCTGCCTTGGTGATGTAATGGTTGATGCACACATTGGAGCTTGGGTTGGAGAACTGCCTAAGTGCTTCAAGGCAATCAATAGCGAGGATGCTGCTGCTTCTGGCTATTTTCAGCATCCTGACACTCTTAGCCAAGAAAATCAATCCCAGTCGGTACCAATTAATATTAAGATGTCCCATTTGGAACAAAATGATAGAACCCAGGAAACTCTGCAGAATATTGCTAGTTTTCAGGTACCTCGTGTGACTTATAAAAGGGAGTTCTCTTTGTAGTAGATGTCTTTTTTTGTATTGATTATGTATCTAATGAGTCTAATGTCTATGATCACCTCTGTTTCTATCAAATGTCTATCATATAACATTTGTTCATATATCACGATATACCTGCTAAATTAGAACCCACCTTTTAGTTGTCATCTAGTAAAGTATTGCGGTATTTGCTAAGTATTCCTCTAAGCTGGGTTGCTCGAGGCATCCAGTGCTAGTTCTGCATTGCGTTTTGAATTTTATGATAGAAAAAAAAAATTCTCTGCATTAGAATTTATGTAAGCAACTATAAGTTTGTTTCATTCTCTTGAGGTCATCAGCTCACACTTATACCCCAACACTTGATTCACGTATTTTTAGGTCGTCGTATCAGAAGAAGGTAAAGTAGTGGGATTTCAGCCAACTAACCGTCCAGCTGTGAACCATTGGGCAACAAACCCACTGGCGACACTTCTGTATCAGGGGCGGTCACTTTCTCCAGGTACAATAAGAGCAATGGGCTTTTTTTATATGTATGGGCACTGAATATCAAATTTATCTTTTAAAATGGACTTTGTCAGGTATTCTAGAACCAAGGCTTAAAATTTCTCGTCCAGCTAAGGCTGCCCCGATCGAATTATTGATGTCAGTAAATCAAGATTCCTTTTTTGCTTTGGCAAGGCCTGTTCAAGACCCATGGTAGTATAGGTGCTATATCACATTCTATTTCTCCTCTTCTTGCTTTATATCGAGCTGTTTCCTTTCCTAAATCTGGTTTCTATTAATTAACATTACTCCCTACTTATGCAAAATCTTTTAGTTGCCAACTTCTCATAGTTTTTACAGTTTTACTCTGTATGATACTTGTCTCTTGTGATCACCTGATCTTAGTTTGCCTATTATGTTGCCTTCTATATAGAATTGACATGCTTTGCTGTTAGATGATGTTATGCGGAATTCCTTAGTTCTACATAATATTATTGATCAATCACACTTTGGAAGTACATAGAGAAGTATATTATTAAAAACACATTTGATGATCATTGCCTCTACTGATGGTTTCATGTATGGTTGTGAACTAGTATACTAATATATTTTCCCCTTAATTTCAAGCACTAGGCATTTAAGTGGAAAAAAATCAACAGACTTACCTACAGACCGCAGCAGGTCAGCAGTTGTAGACATTTTCTTTTCCATTTCTGTATTGGGAGTGCAATGATAGATCCGTCATTCAGAAAAGTGAATCCTTTTACTGCTCTTCCTCACCCAAAGATTAACTAATTTGAGGTCAAGGTCTGTTTAAGTTACACTGAATTAGTATGCATATGGAATCTTAACACTTGTGTGAACACTGTGTATCTGTTTTGTCTAATACTTTCGAAATGGATTTTTTAAGACAAGGCTTAAAGTTTCTCGTCCAGCTAAGGTTGTTCTGCTTGAACTGTTGATGTCTCTAAATCCAGATTATGTTTTAGCTTTGGTGAGACTAATTCAAGGCTCACGCTAGCAGAGGTTTCTTTATTTTGTTTCTCCATTCTCAATCTGTCTAAGCTATTCATTTCCTACTTTTTCCCACTATTTTCAGTATTAGTGCTACATATACAAAAGACTGATGTCACCCAATTTTAGTTTGTCTTATCCTGTTGCCTCCTATACTTTGCAGATGCATGAACTTTTGAGATAGAACCCTAGGATGAACTTATTACTGATTGAAGGAATGGTATGAATTTAAAATAGAACCCTAAGATGAACTTATTGCCGATTCAAGGAATGGTATGAATTAATATGATTAGGGGGTTAACCCTAATTTATAAACAATTAGACTTCCCAAAAAGCTGCTTTTGGGCTTGTGCCCTCCTTGGATGCACATGAAACAAGTGCATGGTTGAACTTGAGCAGCTTTAACTGCCATTTGGTACTGAAAACTATTACTTATGTGCTGTCGCTGCACAAGGAGTCAAGGACCCTTCACTCATGGAGGTCCCTGTTGGTGATTCAAGAATGGGGTTCAGCTTTAACAGCCATATGGAAATGCATATGGGTTCATGGGATTAATGGCTTTTGTGCATACGGAAGTCTCAGTAGTCTGCAATATTCAGCTCCTTGAGCTCCATTTACGTAGTTATTACACCTCAAAATTAATTCATGTCACATAGTTATTCAGCATTACTTGTTCATTTTTATATTTCATATGACATAATTGGCCTCTGTTGCAGATATCTAGCAACATCATTATCTGACCACATGGTAAAGATTTGGAATGTCGATCAACGGCTTCATTGCTTCATGTTGGAAATAATTTTAGTTGGTAATTTTCTCAGCCTTTTCTCTCTAAGCATTCAATAAAACGGTTGTGAAAATCTCCAGGTGAGATCCTGAAATAAGCGAGCATCCAAATTGTCAGGTCATCATTATTGGGATCTGGGACCGTGTTTCTCACTTCTCAGTAGACTGCTCATTTGATAAGTGGTAAGCAGTAACTGTACAGATGATGTTGTTGTTTGTAATTCACAAGTTACTGAGCAAATTGTTTTTGGCCTGCAGCTTCCTCTGATTGTACTGCAAGATTGTGAACAATTCCAAAGATGTGAAAAGAAATAAATAGTGATAGCAGAGCCTGAACATGATTTTGGGAAATGAATACAGTTATTAAGAGGAAAAACATGGTCATAGCCGAGTAGGGAAACAACAGCTATGTAGCAGTTCCAAAGTTGTGAAAACAGCAATCAAAAGGGAAAAAAAGATGGGAAAACAAGATGTGATCACCCATACTGCACTACAACTTTGATCTGGCTGGACTCAGGGCGATTCTCGTTCTCCTCCTTGAGCTGCTGCAGTGCGCGTTGCAGTGATGGGTTATTTTCCCAACCACTGAGCTTCACCTCTTTAAGGCTCTTCAAGTTGTCGATGCCGACAACTCTCCTCTCCTTGTCAGAGAACTCCAATAGAAGCGTCTCCAGCTTTGTCATTGATCCTTGCTCAAATTCAACTACTTTGGGATGTTCTCCAGCGAGGTACAAATCCAGGATCCTCAGCGCTGGAAAACTGTGTGTGGTGCGTGCAACCAGTTCTCGGTCTCTGCAGCTCCGCATCCCCAGTCGGATGCTCTGCAGGCTGGGAAACTTACACAAGGAATCAAGCAGCTGGTCAGCAGCAAGCTTGGCCCATTCCACCGAAAATTCTGCAAGGTGCTTGAGTGATGAGATCCAATCAGGAAATTGACTAATGGGCCCCATCATAGTAAGATGCTGGAGGAGTGGTGGCGGTGAGGAGACGTGAAGGAGAGAGTCCAGTGTCCTGCCAGAATACAGGTGGAGCGATCGGAGGGCGCATGTCTTGCTCAGGGAGGAGCAAAGCACACTTGAAAACTCCTCTTCGGGCTCCTCAACCACAGTAAGCCCCCATGGCAAAGTCCACCAAGGCACCCTCAGGCGCTCAAGTCTATGCAGCTTCGTCACGGTTGGCGGCATGTACACCCTACTTCCAACATCCAGACTCTCCAAATACTCCAGGTCACCGATTTCGCTAGGCATCTCACTGATTCGTGTACCCGTCAATCTCAAGAACCTGAGAAGATACAACCGACAGACATATCTCATATGCTTGTCTTGCAGAGCCTTGCAGTCTTCCAGGTCAAGTACCCTCAGCAACTTGAACTCGCCTAGTCGATTCAACAGCTTCTCAAGGCCTTCCGACTGAAATATAGTCAGCGATCGAACTTGTTGTAGGTTCATCGCCTCAATGCCATGTCTCGCATGATATCGCTGCTCCACTCCCTTGTTCTGACTAACGCGCTCGTTGTCGTCATTCGCATGGACTGAGAGGCGGTGAACTTTGCCGCATGGTGATCTTCCTCCGTATTGCTGTCCTACCAAGCTAACAAAGTTGGCATCTTGGGATTTGGACACCATGACCTCAAGCATCATATCGTGCACCCGGCATGCTTCGCCCATTTCTGCCTGTAAGGTTTTTCTGGTTACCCGCAGCTTGTCTGTTTGAATCATGTTCCTGCTTATCAGCTCATTGAGGTACTCTTCTGCAACATCAAACAAAGTCAAACCCCGCTTCTCAGCAACCAAACCTTCGGCAATCCATCTGTACAACAACCTATCCTTGGCAATCACATAATCCTCAGGGAAAGTGCTAAGATACATCATGCAAGCCTTTAGATGATGAGGCAAGTAGTCATAGCTTAGTGTAATCATTTGCCTCATCCCCTCCAGGGTGGGGTGACTCTCCATCTGAGAACCAATTGAGTTGGACACTTTTATCCACATTTCTACACTCTCAGCTGAATTGTAGCTTGCTAGAAGGCTGGCTATACTAACAATAGCCAATGGCAACCCACCACATTTCTTCAAAATACTGTCCATGGTATCTTTCAATCCGTCGGGGCAAGTACCACCCATGGAGCCAAATACTCTCTTGACGAATAGCTTCTTACTGTCATCTAAGTCCAGTGGCTTTATATGATGGACAAGGTCCTTTGAAACACTACTTGCTTTGGCCACTGTCTCTATCCGAGTCGTCACAATTATTCTGCTGCTGCATTTGTTCTCTGGCAATCTGACGCGGATAGCTTCCCATGCTGGTATGCTCCATACATCATCGATCACAATGAGATACCTGTTTTAGTTGGACATATTACATATGCTTGGAGTCAGAGAATCTGTTGATAGGCAGAGTTCAAAATTTGGTCTGAGGAAGGTATGGTAGTCTATAGTTGTGTACCTCTTGTCCTTGAGGAGCTCCTTGAGCTTGCTCGACAGTTCTTCCACGTCCATTTGGTTGATTTTAAGTTGGTTGCCTTGGGTTTGCTCACCATCTTCTTTCAGGTTCACAATCTGCTTGATCAGTCGGGCCATCAGTCCCTTCATGTCCTTCCCGCCATCGAACGCCTGTGACACAGACACCAGCGCCTGGCGCTGGAAGTCGGCCTCCAGCTGCCGGCACAGCTCCACCGCCAGAGTTGTCTTCCCCAGCCCTCCGGACCCCACGATGAAGAACACCTTGAGGCTTCTGTCATTATCGTCGGCTTTGATCCTCTCCGCCAAGGTGTCGACCTGTTCCCTGATGCCGACGAACTGATCATCAGGGTCATCGGCACGGCGGAGGGCATTCGCGGACACAGACGCCACCGCCGAGACCGGGGCGAGCCACGGAGACCTGGGTAGCGCCGCCCGGTCGATGCCGTAGTGAACGCGGCGCTCGCTGACGGTGGTGGTGCGTGCCAGAAGGGCCTTGACGTCGGCGGCGAGGGTGCGTCGCAGCAGCAGCTTCTCCAGCTGGTACTTGGGCCATTTCACGATAATGTGAGGCAGCTGGGGGGGCGCCATCAGGCGCCTGACGCGGAGCCAGTAGGTGTCGGCGCAGTCCTCGGCGTCGTAGGCGAGCTCGCGCACCTGCTTCTCCCACTCCCTGACCAGGTGATCGACGGCGCTCTGGTCCGCCTCGGAGATCATTCGGAGGAAGGCGTTCATGGTGGACAGCTCGTCCATTAGGAGAACCACCTTGTCGCCGACGCCGCGGTGTCCTGGACCTCGTCGACCAGCAGCTGCCCCAGGTTGCTCACAATGGACTGCGCTGCGCTCTCCATTATTGTCACAGTTGTTTCAGCATGCAACGTGGATATTGGAAGGAATACGCCTAGTAAACTTCAAAGATGGATAGATGGAGTTTGCTCCTTTGTGTGAGATACTAATAAGAGGATGCAACTTAGAAACCAACTTGCTGTATTATAACTCAAATCCTGTGGCATCGATGATCTCTTGATTAGTACCCTCTACCTGGCACCTGCTATAGAATGTTTTTTTGGTATCAAGACACCCACTCACAAGTCACAAGGCTATATTCGGAATTGTACATGCTTGCTGACCACCTTTCGACTTTGAGATCCGGGCTGGATCAACTTTAGTTGAGTGTCACCCCCGAAGCTTCCTGCCGAGGTCTTGGAGTTCCCATCGATCACGATCCCATGGACATGTACTACTCTTAGTTTTTTTTATCATTATTTCTTGAGTAATGAGTACTACTCTTGTTTCCTTTTTCTCAATTTTGATAAAAATATCTGGTTATACAATATATAAGATGTGAACTTTAATGAATTTGATTGTTCGTTTTATTTTTCTTTGTAAATTTTGTCTTGTTTTGTATTTTATCGAAGCGTTAGCAAGGGCACACTACTAGTTGCACTAAACAATACAGAGGGCGAAAATGCGGTGGTTAGCATAATGGCCCGTTCGCGTGTCCTTTAACCTGGCTTGATCCGTTTTTTTTTTCATCCGGAACAGTGTTTTCCTCTTACAAATTTCTTCAGATTCCTCCAAGCGAACGGGACCCATGTACATTATATTCAACACAAATTCAATACACTTGGCGGAGTAAAATGGGTTGCTTTTCAATTGTTGTTCACCCATAAAAAGCACCATTTTTGTATTTTAAAAAAAAAGTATAGGGAAACCCTTCACTTGGTAAATGACCAGGGGAGATGAAATTCTTGACTTGCTCTAAAAGCGAACACATTTTGAAATGAGGGAGTCATCATCGAACCCTTCCGTACGTCAACCTAGAGGTTCCGTTCGCTTGGAGAAATTTAGAGGAATCTAGATGAATCTGTGAGAGGAAAACACTGTTCCGGATGAAAAAAAGAAGCGGATCAAGCCAGGTTTAAGGGCACGCGAACGGGGCCAGAAGCCCCACGAATGAAGGGTCCCGGAAGCTTCTCAATCGATGCAGTATCTTTCGTAATGACATATATGAGTAATAATTTGAATATAAACTAAGGGGTTACTTTGGCGTTGTTATCTTTTATAATGACGGTGGTGTAATTAGATTTAATTATCTTTCATAATAATAGATGTCGATAATCTAGATACAAATTTAGTTGGTTATTTTAAATTATTTTTCATAGTGAGAATCGTGGGTAATTTAGATATAATTTAGGTGGTTGATTTGAACTATCTTTTATAACAATAGCGGAGTGGGGTAATTTAGGTATAAGATTAGGGGATTATTCTATGTGTTTTTCATAATGGCAGATACATGTAATACATTTATAAAACATAATAAATCGAATGCCTATTATTTGCGTTCATGGTTAAAGTTTACCAAATTATGGGCTATATGTTTCTGATTAACGTGATGTTTTTTAGGATTTACCTTTTTTTCCTAATGAAGCAGAACACGGCTGGAAATTGAAAACTGAACACTAGGTTATGAGTTTCAAGCATTAATTACATTACGCTGCTTCGGAAATGGAAGGGTGGAGAACAACATTACACTGATGCAAGGCATCTATAAAGGGGAAACAAACAACACATGATTACTACTTTTGGTTTTTATTATACCCTCTGTCCCGGAATAATAGATTTCTAGAGTTGTCTTAAGTCAAATTTTTTAAATTTTGACCAAATTTATAGAATAAACCCATCAAGATTTATGATATCAGATTAATATCATTAGATATATAATATAATATATTTTCATAACATGTTATTATGTTATAGATGTTGTTAATTTTTTTTCTATAAAGTTAGTTAAACTTAAGATGGTTTCGGATTCTATGAATTGATTCCAAATACTCCAGGTTGCCGATTTTGCTAGGCATCGCACTGATTCGTGTACCCCTCAAGACTAACGCCTTGTTTAGTTCCACCCCAACTTCTAAAAAGTTGCTACAGTACCTGTCACATCGAATGTTTGCGGCCCGTGCATGTAGCATTAAATGTAGACGAAAAGAAAAACTAATTGCACAGTTTGGTGGGAAATTACGAGACGAACGTTTTGAGCCTAATTAGTCCATGTTTGAACACTATTTGCCAAATAAAAACGAAGGTGCTACAGTAGCCCCAAAATCCAAATTTCGCCAACTAAACAAGGGCTAAGTACCTGAGCAGATACATATGTCAAATATGTTGCATATGCTTGTCCTTCAGAGCCTTGCAATCTTCCAGGTCAAGGACCCTCAGCAATTTGAATTCGCCTAGCCGATCTAGCAGCTTTGTCGAGGCCTTCCAATTGAATTGTAGTAAGTGATCGAACATGTTGTAGGTCCATCGCCTAAATGCCATGTCTTGCACGATGACACTGCTATGCTTTGTCATCATCATTTCCATGGACAGAGAGGCGGGGAACCTTGCCACGTGCCGCATCCCATGTGCATCCAACGGTGCACGTACATGGGGCACATGCCCTTAGGGGCAAAATTAACTTTCCCGGGGAGTGGCATCGACCGTCTATCAACCCCTCAATCCAAAAATCTCATACCATGTTCAGCCCTAGCTATAATGTTGCTCCTTCCTTTGAATAAAATACCTAAAATGAACTCTTGTACAAAATAAATCTTGTAGTGCCATGAATATGTATAAGTAGAACTGGAGATGAGGCATGGTGATCTACATTCAGAGGAAAACAAGCAGACGAGGTCCGAATGGTGAGATATTAATTATTCACTGAGCCCTTAGTATTTCCCTTTCATGTAAAAATGTTGGAGCAATTTTTCTTTACTACAGATGGCTGGAGCACTATTTAATTAGAGAAAAAGAAAATATAGGTTAAGTTTTAGGCATGACAAGCTCTGGCTGCCGAAAACTGATTTTACAGGAAAGAAAGATAACTGAAAAACAATTGACCTTCTTCGCTTGGTATGTGTTGACGGGAACTGAGTTCGGTTGTGGCAGCACCCATGACAGGAGACGCAATAGATCATTGAAACTACAGTTTGACCAGCCATACTTAGCTTTCAGTATGAGTAGCTCAAGCACAAAACGTAGCAATGTCCAGTGTGTCGGACAACCCTTTTCAATACCATACACAGCCTCAGTCGATGCCTTTTCACCATTTCAAAATTTTCTAGACCTTTCGGGCTCTTTAGTAAAATCTCTGGTCCAAGGGCTCAAATCATGTCCTCCAAATCATCTTCATCCCCGACACGTGCTCCGCCATCATTATTGGCACCACCTTCGTCGTTACCATCCCAACCACCAGCATCATCACCTTGTTCATTGCCAAACTCGGGATCCATTCGTGCATCAAGCTCTGCTGAATATTAGACATGGATTCTATGGTTTCGTCGTCGTATTCCTTCTTATTCTCGTCGTTAACAATAATTGTTTCACCATGATGAATCCACACTATGTAGTCCTCAACAAATCCTCGCATAATCAAATATGACATGATGATAGTCACATTTGTCCATGCCATATGGTTCTTACAATCTTTACAGGGACAAATAATTGTATCCTTATTCTCTGTCAACGTCGTTGCATGCTTCTCTGCGGCTTCAATAAATTTATCCACCTCTTCACGAAAACCTGCCTTGAACCTTAACGAACCGTACATCCAAGAGTTCTTGTACTCCATCTTTTACAATAACAACAAAACAAACATTAAAGGACTACTTATTCAGATATATATAAAAATTAATCAAATTAATAATTACTTGAGAATAATTGTATATACTTCAGATATATATGAATATAAATCAAATATAATTACATAAAGCATACAAACATACCATGGTAGAGGAAAATTAATTAATGACCTATTTATCAATAAATAATTAAAATACATATTTGTTGATTATAATAAACAATTTCAAAGACAATAATTAGCAACAATTAATATTTTGCCCAATATCTTTCATGCAAACCCTAGTCCAATTTCATCAAACATAAATTTACAAAAATAAAATTAATAAAAAAACCAAACCCTAGATCTAGATCTAGATCTACATGCACATGAAACATCCATAAAATTAACTAATTGTTCACTAAAATCAAGAAACACGGACCAAATAAGGGTATGATCTTGTTCCCCTACCTAATTTACCCTAGTACATTCAAAACTTGGGTCTAATTTGCTTCATAAGTAGCTCAAGCACCATAGAAGAGAGAGAAAAGCAAAACTCTAATTACTCACTAACCAACCATTAAAACTTCAAAAAAGTGTGGAATAGCATTTTCTTACCTTCTACAACCTCTTCACCAAAGGATTTGGGATTAAAACCTCCCACCCTTAGTAGAGCAATTTTTGAAAGGTGTCCAAGGCCTCCCTACCTTTTTTTATGGGTTGGAGTAAGTGATCCAAGGAGGAAGAAGGGGCTACATGTTTTTATACGTGGGGCATTTGTAGGGACGGCTAGTGATTGAGCCGCCACTACAAATCGCAACACCAGTGACGGCTGGTGAGTGAGTCGCCCCTACAAATCAACCCATTTGTAGGGGCGGCTCATATCACCAGCCGCCCCTATCGTGCCATTTGTAGGGGCGGCTGGTCTCGGGGGTCCCGAGCACGTCCATTGTAGGGGCAGCTCCATCCCCAGCTGCCCCTACAAAAAATTAAGCCATTGCTACAAACCTTTTTTGTAGTAGTGATATTGCATGTATTTTGAGGGGGTCCCTGCTCGCCTTATATAGTCTGGGGGTAGGGTTAGAAGTCGGTTAGATCTAAGAGATAATCGAAAAGTAATAACAGATTACAG